TACCGAGGTCGACCCCCTCGAGTGCGTGTTCCTCCAAGAGGGCCAGGTCTGCATCGACTCGGGGCTCATGCTGGTGGCCTTCAGCTTCCATCACCTTGGCCAGGGCAAGCGCGCGATCACGCTCCCGGCGTCGTGCCCCACGGTCAAGTGGTGCCTCAACTGCCTGGACGTGCCGTCCACCACCAAGACCCAAATCCGAGCCCTCGCTCGCCAGCGCTGGGTTGGCGACATGGCCGCGGCCGGCATCAAGGCCCGGGCCTGCAAGGCCGACTGCCACGAGGCCCGCTTGGCGCTGGCCACGCGCCTGGCCGCTCACCAGAACAAGCTCCTGCTCAGCCTCCACGGCAGCCTGGTCCTGGCGGAGTTCGATCACCCCCTACACAGCCTCCACCCGGACCTGCCCGACGGCCCGGCCAAGACAACGCTCCTCAAGAACAAGCTCTGCCCGGAGGCCCACCTCGAGCCAACCACCACCCCGGGCCAATTCCTCCTGGCCGATCCATCTCACGGCCGCGGACTCCTAATCCCCCTCGACCGGCTCCCCTGCAAGACCCTCGTCCTGTCGAAGGTGCGTCTCGCTTGCCGGATCCGCCTTGCTTTTTGTCCCCCCCCCCCCTGAGAAGGCAGCGACCTGCTCGTGCCAGCCCATCGATCACCCATACGTCCCAGGCCTGTGCCATTCCACCCACTGCTCGACGCTTCTCCCTCCTCCCTCCCCCCCCTCCCACCGCCACTCCTCCCCGCAGCTGTCATGAACTATCGCTTGGAGATACTCGCCTCCGGGCAGCCGTACCGCTTCACCGATGAGTAGGGCGACGCTCACTGGATCCCCGAGGTACGCCCATGCCGGAAGCCCGAATGGCTCCTCCATCGAGGGGAACACACACACACACACAGACACAGACACAGACATAGACACAGACACAGACACAGACACACACTCACACTCACACTCATATTCACACTCACACTCACACTCTCACCACCCTCGCTCCGGGCCCCGCGCCCCACCCGGCCGGCATCCCCCTGCTCAGGTCGGCCAATCCGGTAGCTTTGCCTTCCGCTGCGAGGATAGGATCCTCTTCATCGCAAAGGACAGGGTCCAGTACTACTGCTTCATGACCGGCAATTTACACACCCACAGTCTCATGTCCAGCCGGCTGCCGATCGATCAACATGGCACCTTCCATTTGAACGGCCCTCTCCTGTACATATCTTTCCTTGCCCAGCCCATTGGTCTGTTCCTCAGGAGCAAGACCCACCTATTTCCCGAGGTGCGCCATGGGCAACCCCCTCGCCATGACCGCCCGCCTTCTGTGCTCGTCCGCCCGCCCGCCCGCCCGCCCGCCCGCCCGCCCGCCCGCCCGCCCGCCCACCTGACCCTCTCCGCCCTTTCTTTGCACCCAAGCGCGGTGTCCCCGGCAGTGACCTCTTCGTATGCAGTCAGCGGGCGTTGCTGCTCGAGAGGAATGGTATCACAGCATTCGCCTTCGACTCAACCCGCTCCCCCAACACACGCACCACCTGGTCCACGGTTAGCTCGAAATCATGGGATACCTTCACCCTCGACGGGCCGCTCCTATGTGCGACATCTCACGACACTCCGGTCGGCCTCTTCGTCGGTGGCTCCACCATCAGCCTGCCCGAGGTATGACACATGCCCGGCCGGGCCGGGCCGGCCCACATCCCCCTCCTCGGATCTGCCCCGCTGACTTGCCTGCGCCCGGCGTTGGCCCCGACACAGAACCGGACCCCCGGGCACCCGGCCTTTGTCTTCCATGACACCGTGCTCGCCCTGTTCCAGACCGGAATCCGAAGCTTCTCCCTCAGCATGAAGGGCCAGCCGGCCGACGGGCGTTGCTGGCTGAAGACCAGAATCCCGGCCGATGGGACCTTCCTTCTCAAGGGCCCGTTCCTGCACCTGTCCTCCCGGGCCGACCCCATCGGCTTTCTCCACGACCAAGACATCCACCAGATGTGCCAGGTGTGTTTCTCCCGTCCGCCGGCCCTTCGCCGCGCCTCACGCCCAATGCTCGTCCCTTGTCTCATGGCTCTTCTCACCCGGCCCCCCCCCCCCTTCGGCCCCGTTCTCCCGCTTCTCGCCCGCCGCTCCAGAATGGCACCGCCGGCCGGGCTTTCTTCATCCATGGCAACACGGTCCTGCTGAATTTCCGCGGCGACGTGTGGGAGTTCCGCTTTTCCGACTTCAATGAGCTTCTCAAGCAAACCATCTGGCCCGATGTGGTGGTCACCCCGACCGACACCTTCACCCTGCAGAGGTCCTTCCTATTTGTATCCTCCCAGAAGTACGCCGTCGGGGTCCTGCTCAACGACCAAATCTATTCGTTCCCCCAGGTACATGGCCGCTTGGCGCTGGCCCTCCACCCTGCCTGGTCGCTTGCCCGCTCGCCCGCTCGCCCGGTCTCACGCACGCTCTTCCGTAGTACGGCGCATCGGGACACGCGCTCTTCTCGGGCCCGGGTACCATTTTGCTCATCCACCAGAGCACCGTCTTATCCTTCTCCATCGACAACACCGTCGAGCTGGCACAGGGCCCGGCCTGGGCCAAAATCCCCCCCTCGCCCGATGCCACATTCGTCCTGGATGGCCCTTTCCTGCGGGTCTCCTCGCACCCGGCCCCGATCGGGCTCTACCACGAGGACCGCCTGCTTCGGCTGCCGCCAGTGCGCGCGCACACACACACACACACACATGCCTTCACCACCTGCCCCGGGCTACTCACCCGCCCGCCTGCCCTGCCCACAGCTCGGCGCCCCTGGCCACCCCGAGTTTGTGGCCGAGAATGCCGTGCTCATCGCCAGCAGCAGCAGCATCCGCTTCTTTTCCCTCGATTCGGGCGCCTCTTCGCCCTCGGAGCTTAGCCCCGCCGGGGAGCAGCACATCCCCCCCGGCAGCACCTTCACCCTGGATGGGCATTTCCTGCGCCTGCCCTCCCTCTTGGCCCCGGTCGGCCTCTTCGTCCAGGGCCATGCCCATCCCATGCCCGAGGTATGGCCCTGGTATCCTCTCTGGCTGCCGCTTGCCGTCTGCCCCGCCCCGCCCCGCCCCGCCCACTCACTTGCCCCCTCGATCCCCCGTGTGTCGCGCAGGCCGGCGTCGCCGGCCACACCGTCTTCGTTGGTGCCAAGGAGATCTTGCTCCTGCAACGACAGGGCATCCACTCCTTCCCCATCCACCCGTCGGGCCAGCCCACCGAGGGGGCCCCCTGGGCTCGGATGCCCATCCCCGCCGGCAGCACCTTCGCCCTGGATGGGCACTTCCTGCACGTGTCCTCCCTCCCGGCCCCGGTCGGCCTCTACCACGAGGGCACCGTCTATCCGTTGCCCAAGGTCCGCCCAACGACGGCCACCTGTCGCCCACCTCCCGCCCCCGCCCCCCCCCCCCCCCCCCCCCCCCCCCCCCGCTGCCTTGCGCTCGCTCACTCCCATGCTCCCGCCGTTGGCTGCGCGCACCCTGCAGGTCGGCGTCCCGGGGGGCCACATCTTCGCCGGCGCCCGAGAGACCCTCCTCCTGCGGGAAAATGGCATCCACTCCTTCCCGGCCAGCCAGTCCAGCCGATTCGCCAAGGGGGTCTTCTGGGCCAAGATGCCCATCCCCGCCGGGAGCACCTTCACCCTGGATGGCCATTACCTGCGCGTGTCCTCCCTCCCGGCCCCGGTCGGCCTCTACATCGAGGACAGTGTCTACCTGCTTCCCAAGGTCCGCCCAACAGCGGCCCCCCGCTCGCCGGACTTTTTTCCCTTTTTCCATTTTTCGCCATTCCCCCTCTCACACACCACATAGGCCGGTGTCCCGGGCAAGAGGATGTTCGTCCATCGCAAGGTCGTCTTCGTCATCTGCAAGGGCGGCGTCCGGCTTTTCCCCCTCGGGACTACCCAGCTGTACCCGGATGGTGTGGTCCACATCCCGTGCTCCACGTCATACAGCTCGGCCTTCGCCCTGAAGGGGCCCTTTCTCCATGTCACCTCGCACGAGCAGCCCCTTGCCCTGCTGTTTAAGGACAACTTCTACCACCTGCCCCCGGTAGGTGCACCGGCCGCCGCCCATCGCCCTGGCCTTCTGCCCGCCCCCCTGCTGGCCATGTCGCGCCCTCTCACCCTGCCCCCCCCCCGCCCGGCACACTCGCCCGTCCAGGTCGGCCGCCCCGGAAAGCAGGTGTTCGTCGACCGCCACACCGTCTTCCTCATCCACAAGAACATCGTTCTCGCCTTCTGCCTCCGCCAGCCGGAGCTCGCGCCCGAGGGGACCGTCAGTTGGCTCCTCCCCGCGGGCAGCGGCGGATGCTTCACCCTGAATGCCCCTTTCCTGGCCGTGTCCACCTCCGACCAGCCCATCGGCCTCCTCGTCGGCGACACCGTGCATCTGCTTCCCCAGGTCCGAGCCCGCCGCCCTGCCTGCTCGGTGTTGCCGGCCGCCCACCGGCCCGCCCCCCC